TTTGTACAGTGTGAAAATCTATACAGCAGCTGTTGATGGGGTTACCAGTCAAAGAAAGCTTCTCGGAAAACTTTGAGTTTGCATTATCATCATACTTACTAAACAGCATTGATTTGATACCATCTGTAACTCAAGTTTAACGAACGGTTGTTACCACGGTCTTTGTATCACACCATATGGTCACAGAGTGGATTTAATTTACCATAATGGTTTTAAAATGGACTTGAGTGATTAACAGGCATGTGTGACTATTAATGGCGTTATCAGGTTGGTACTCCAATACTATCAATGTAGATCCGATCATTAAAGACCTTACCATTGTGATGAAGCAAATGTGTTCGTAATAAAATGTTTTACTTGTCGTACAAGGCTTTGAGCGTGCCACGCATCACACAGGAGGTTTACTTTGCATCGTAAGCTAGAACGGTGTAAAGATATGCCTTTAATTTTACCTTGGCATGAATTGTCAGTGCCTTTACTTTTTGATGAGCTCGTTCAACACGAGTTCGTTCAGTGTTTTTGCTGTGTGATTATTAGAAAGCTACTTGAGTCGAATGCCACTAAGGCGGAGTCTCCCGTGATATAGTGCTCTTCAAAGTCCCTCTTGTCGAATTGATTGATCTACGACACAGACGAACTGCGATACTATAAAAGGCAACTGTGGTGAAATATTAGGGATAATCAATAATAATGGGATGAAGAATAGGAAAAGGAATAACGTTTAGCAGTACCGGTAACTTAGTAAAAAGCAAAAGTATTAACGCGACATTGCGTCCCTTGGTCAGACTACAAAATATATAAGTCGTTTCTTAGGTGTCTTTACTAGTTTAGTCCCTGAGTAATCCAACTTGTGCAGATTTTTTGACTGTAGCTCTATGTAAAAATAAGATAACACAAATGCCTTGCCAATGACCGCTGTAGGTGAGGTGCCTATTGTCTGTACATGGCGCATGCTCAGTGGGCGCAGTCGCGACGAAGTGCTAAGCTAGTTCGACCCCATGCCGGTGCCTCTGTCATGGAATGGCCGTGATGAGAACGCTAGAGTCTCAGAGTGTTCATGATTGATAAAAACATGCTCAAATAAGCTGAGTTGTTCCAATAGGTCATTTTTATTTCCGAATCCATAGCTGTGAACTTTAAGAATAGGCCTTGTTCTAATTAAAAAAGCATCATCACATCTTTTTAAAAAACAATGTCGATAGCTGCCACTTCTTGCTACGCCAAAAATTAGACTCTACTGAGCCAAAGTTTAGAATATGTTATCACATTGTCCTAATTCCAACAAATCGTTTGCTACGTTCAAGTCACCTGCGTTTTTGATTTTTTATCCCCTAGTTCTTCAGCAGTCCAAAGGTTCTCCAAATTACCAAGGAGCCCCGTTCTTCTCGAAGAGGTTTATTGATAGGCTTTTTTCTTTAAAATGTGATAGAACTCCTTGTATGTAATGGAACACAGATGTGTCTGCGAGGGAAAGAAACTATTGCCGTTCTGAAGTTCAAGTGTATATTGGGAAAGCTATTATAGATTTTAGACTATTCTTCATATCAAATCGACTAAAACATACGAAATTTGCATGCATTTTGATCAGAACAAAAACTGGAATGACCGGACCAGTAAAGATCTAAAGCTCTAAAGCTCTCGGCGTTGATCAGTCTCTGAGGGATGCGCAATGCATTCGACTTCATTAAGTATCGTTTGGAGGTGATTGAATGCATATCTGGCCTTTACAATGACTCGCGGTGGCCTTCCGATGTATCCAGCCAGTGCTTCTATCCTCTCCAACAAGTCTGGTAGCAATTTGCCGGCTCCGGAGGGATGGAAGTCTTGGTGGGCCATGGGCGCAGGAATCGAATCCACGTGTGCTTCGCAGTGGCGCCTCCAACCACTGCACCACACGCGGCCTGACTGGATCAGTAACCTTAAAAGTTCTGAAGCCGAAAATTCTAGAAATTAGTACACTGCAGCTCAGTTAATTAATTACCGTGGCCTAAGATTGTTCGCTATAGAAAAGACCTCGACCATAAACCAAAATGCCCATCAAGTGCCGAATAAATGCTTCATAGATGATCCTAGCGCCGAGTTGATGAGTTGGTGATCTGTGATAAAACCTATTGCTAAAAGGGATTGAAATTCTTTAACTGTATTTATGGCTCGCGGTGTTCATCGGAGTTCCTCCACATGTTTTTATCAGACTTTGACTTACAACCATCCCTGTGATTCTGGAATAAAGCGCAACCCAAAGAGCTAGCTATCCCTTCTCAATCCAATCACTTATCTTGATAAAAAAAAAGTTGTTGCTGTTGTCGCAAAAAAATATTTCTTTGTATTTTTCCACGAAATCGATACCATCCGAAAAGCGCTATCACGGTAACGCCAGGGTGATAATACAATCTCTTAGTCGGGATGACAAAAGTATTTTATAAGGAAAATCCTTATACAACCACTAATTTTCAAAAAGTTTCGAATATTTGAGTATCATTCATTCATAAGAACAAAGGCGATTCTTGGAAATAAACAAACCACAGCAAATGTTTGTATTGAGAAGCCTAAGAAAGTCTGAATTTGTAAGAAGTGTAAGGAAGAATAAGTAAGTAACGAAGACGACGACCACAATAGACATGTCCGGGGTGTGCCCTTTAGTCAATATAGAGAAGAAACTTAAAGAAAACCACTGAAGGAACAGATAGAGAGCAGCGAGTGCGTTCTCCAAACGTCGAACAGCAGCCACCTAACTAGGAATCAGCATTCCGTGATGCATATTTCGTTTTTGCTTGGCAGGATGCTCTGCTAAAGTGAAACAGCGACCCGTTGGCCATGCTGCTTGGAAGCAGAACAGTAGGTAAACAAGGAGAACAGAGCTACCCGAACTTGTACTCGAAGAAAGAATAGCAAGACTGCAGACAGGGAGACTATTAAAGCCTTGGAACGAAGCCTTTCTAGACGAATGATAGTTTGATTTATCAACATTCATTCTCAGAGGGCTTGTAAACTTGTTCTTACAATCTTTGGCGCTTTGAACGCTTGTTCCTTTTTATAAAATTCAGCGTTTCAAAGAGTAGATTTACATTAAACTTTAACTAGTTTTTAATAATACTTCATTAAATTGTGGCCAACTTCGACCGTTAAGATAAAAAAGGCGAAAAAAAGTGGACCCAAGCCATTCTCTTTTATGGATCCGAACATACACGGAAAGCCATGTAACCGGGTCACGTTGTTGAGTTTGCAGTTGCTCAGAGAACCGCTGACGATCACACGGTGCGAAGTTACTTTCAAAAGTTTTGCGGTGGAGTTTAAGGTCTTAATAGATAACATCTGGTACCTGTTTTCCGACAATTTACGACGATTTATCGATCGCTAGAGAACACGAGAAGTTGAGAATTAGAACCTATAGACCTATAGAAGAGCATACAGGATCTTTTAAAACACAGCAAATTCCACAGAACCCCTCCCCGCCGGACACAAGGTACGGAGAGGTTTATCACTTTGAACCGTCTCCATTTGAAAATCAGTCGACTTTTCTGAATGACAGTGAACATTGCACAATCAAAACTGTAAAAGTTGAAAAGTAATCGAGATGTCATTCCAGCACACCTATTGTGCCTTTCTCGATTCAAAGTAAATAACACTTCTCAAAGCACATTGATTAGTATCTGCTGAGAAGCTCGTCAACAATAATCCCGCTCCCTAGAATATTTCAAAGGATTCGTGGCATCCAGAAGATTAAAACTTTACTGGAAAGGTAAATATTGTATGCCAAATTCTGTGGTAGGCTATATGAAAACATTGACACCCTGTGTTAGTCTTCAAGTTCAAATCACTTAGTGATAGCCAAATATGAAAGTAATGGCAGAGATGAGTAAAAGTTGTGAAAACAACAAATGAAGGACCCTGAAATTCGCGAGAACGAGGTGCCTAACTATCTAATTCTAGTATTTTCAACAATATTTAGCAAAAAAAACTCCTGAGAAAATGTAAAAAGCTTTCACATGAAACGCGTCCTTTCTGCATTCGCTAAATATTTTCACTAGTTTTATAATTCAACTTAGATGCAGTTTCCATAGAATATGCTCCATTCTGGGGGCGCATGTGGCGCAGTGGTCAGAGGCGTCCTGCAACACACACGTGGAATCGATCTCCGCGCCCATGGCCCACCAAGCTTTCCATCCCTCCGGGGTTGGCAAATTGGTACCAGACATGTCTGAGAGGATAGCAGTACTGGCTTGATATATCGGTAGGCGATCATGAGTCATCGTAAAGGCCATATGTGCAATCAATTGCTTCCAAACGTTGCTCAGTGAAGTCAAATGCATGGCGCATCTCTCAAGGATTGGTCAACGCCGAGAGGTTTATCCTTTATCCTTTCATGCTTCATTCTAAACTTACATTTCTAAAATAGAGCGCTTGATTCTCTCTTTTCCAGCAACTGATAACATCTTGAGAACTGAAACATTTGAAGAGTTAAAACCTTTGCACATTTATTGGATAGCCTTTTCTATGTCGTTTTAATCGCACGTATAATCTTTGTTAACTATTCTTACATTATGAATTTGTTTAGAATCAAACATTAAAAAGACTCCTGTTGGTTCAAATTTCGCGCCGGCAAACTCGAGCGTTGAAGCAAGAAATAAGTGAATGAAATAGCTTTTGGAAGGTTCGAATAAAGCACATTTAACTTCTCTGGAAAAGGATAACCAGCATCTTGTAAGGAGAAATCTGCAGATTGAATAGTTTTTAATCGAATTTAATATTTTTCAATATCAGTCGAGGTATAATGATTTAAAGCTGGGAGTAGGACTCATTTTCGCGCTGAATGCGTTGTTTTCAATGCATGTCGGCCGTTGTGGTAACATGTCAGTAATGTAATCATGTTATTTTCTCTTCCACACTTCCAACAACGCATTATTCGCGAGCCAAATGATAGTGCATAATAGAAACACTTGAGGTAGGTGCCATGCTCATTCGTCAATCGGATAGCATTTGTTGTCGTCCTTGACGCAAACGTGACGATCCGGGCATGTATCGTTCACACACGGACCAATCGGGTCCAAATCGGCCCGTGCTCTTGCTAAAATCGCTACTTCTAGAATTTATCGCGAAATTTCAAAGGAGTTATGGGAAAAATTAGAAACTTTAAAAAATACAATATTAACTCTTTTTATTTCTTATTTACTGCCTATTACAACTTTTCACGGCAGGGTATCATGTGCGATACAACCACAATGATGCTGAGATATCTGCAAAACTCCGGACCGCAGGTGTCCGCCGTGGGGAACGAACGCGCTATTCCTCTTTCCGGAGACTAAGGCGTTCACCACCACACCATGCGGGTCCTCGTTTCGCCTGCCTCTCAGCTAGTTCTATCGATCAGTGCTATCAGCAATCCCGTTGCAAGGTGAAGTAAAATGTCATCAGCTATGACAAAAAGAAAATTTGTGCAACCGCAAAAAAGGAATTAGTTTTTTTCCCTCTAGATCGTTTTTTACTTTCACAACCATCCACTTCATGAAATCATCTTGGTTAGAAGTCAATCAAGTGAATACGTATTTAACAAAAGAGAATAGAATTCAATGCCTGGAATAGTGCCCTACGTCTTTATTTTCGTCGCTTCTGATACGTTTAATGGTTCCCGCGAATCGAGCTGAGTAGATGTGGCTGTAGATCCACTTCGGTCAAGACCACCAACGTTAGGGTCTTATGCGATTGTCACAGTTTTCTCAAATCTTCATTGTTAAGAAGAGCTATAACACTTACTCATAGGTCGAATACAAATGTTGTCGTTGCACTGATAAGTTTCTGGACAAAGATTGTTCACACATGGACCGAGTTCCTCGACTGAAATAGCCATAAACAATTTCATAAACCACGTTCCTTAAAGCTTTTCGTTTTCCGTGGACGGGGTCCTTACGATTTAAATCTATGTATTTCCTAATGAGTTAATACTGTAATGAATTTTAAGACAGCAGGACCGAACATTTATCAAAATGTATGTGAAAAGGCGACAAACCAATCTTCTTGACTTCACCAGCTGGTTTTTCGTAGAAGAACAAGATCTCACTTTGACCTCTGTAGTCCATTTCGTCACGTTTCATGTAATGACTGTGAAGCTTTCTTCCACAAATATTTACTTTTTTGACGTTTTGTAGGATCAAAGAAAGAATTTATTCAATAGTTTTTGAGCAAATAGCTCTTAGAACGCCCATCTTCCTTGAGACCGCCCGTTTCTGCCCAGTTAGGTAATTTTTATGCGTAATGCAAGAAAACCTACTCAGATCTGGGTCCGGTACACATTCGGCGTGAACGCACATAAATCCTGGTGGACATCGGCTTAGGATACATGGACCAATCGCCTTAGGAGATGCTTGAAATCAGAAAGCGTTTGTTTGACATTGATTATTCTTAAGATGCAAGAAACATATGCAATATATTTAAAGACATAAAGCTGAATTCATCCCACATTTCACGAAATCTCCAGCAGCAATTGCACAGGCAATTGCAGCATATACTAGAAGAGGCGGCATGACGAAAACAGCGACTTGAAGTTGAATGACCAGTCGACATGCGCAGCTGATCCGCCCATTCCTCTCGAGTAGAAGCGTGGTCCGGACCACTTTGGTGCTGTTACTAAGCACACAAGTCGCACACTCAGTGGCGGCCAGCAAAACAGAGCAGCAAAAGAGAAGAGCAAAATGGCCAAACACACACACCCCTGCCTTGTACGATCTGACACAGCGAATTACCCGAAGTAAGAAAAGTCTTACATGATGGAATGAATTAACTTGTTGCCAGCTTTGTAGTAACAATCAAATTTTCAACAGTTAGAAAAAACTTTAATGGTGTTGGGATATGAACTGAACTAGGAGCCCTAGTTGAGCTTCGAACTAACGATCACACTGTTAAAGGTGATCACTGATATGATCGGTAGCGTAAAAACTGGCTTAGTGAAAGGCAAACAAAGGTTTCAGTAGCGCAGGGCATATCACGTGGGTGCCCGGGGATGCTAATCGTGGATTGGAAGTTGACCTGGGGTTCCGGGGGTCTTGCTGATATCTGTGCATCATTGTGGTTGTATTTCACATAGTGCGGTGCCATGAAAAAAAGCAAGTAAAAGTTAAACATTGTTAGTTGGAAAAAAGTGTGCTGTAGTTGGCCATCTAAAATACCGTTAACACATGGAAAACTGTGAATACGAGGAAAATGGGGAAAATTTTATGGATTGCCTTGACAAATAGGTTGGAAAAGTTGATAGAATTTTTTTATTTCGAGTGACCAAGCACCACGCTATATGCTGATTCCAGCATTTCTCGCATTCGATTCGTTTCCTTACACTCACGAAAGTCGCCGGCTTTGTTGGTATGACTGCTGCTTGAGGATTTCCCTCCTCCTCATGAATACTTTGTCAAGTTGATTCTTTTCGAATCCTGGGATAGCCTTGTTATGGCGTCCCAAGATCTTTATCATTACAAAGCGGAAGTTTTCGTGGATGGCCGGGCTAGAGTATTTCAGACGAGTCTGGCATCACTTTCTGGACTCCATTTGGAGAGAACCCTGGGTGGATTCAGTACTGAATTAAGCAAAAGCCTTGAGCGTACTCAGCAAGAATCATTACCACTGTGCAACTTGCTCCCGGATTGGTGGAGACAATTACTATTTCTTTAGCAAATGAGATTACATTAAACATGCAATCGAATAAAGTTTCTCTTCAACAATTTATAGGACACATAAGCTCATGCTGTATTTTTCAATGGATGGTTTTATACGCCGACTCCATTTTGTTCCATTCAAGTTGATCTCATGTAAATATTGTAATTATCACTAATGAGAGAAAGACACTCTTTGCAAAACAGTTTTTCTCCCATTTACCCGCCTTTGACTTCGAATCTTCTTCTTTTAAGAGAGTATGGGTTAGCTGTGAGGGTATACTTCTCGCTTAAAGCAAAAACAGGCATATCCAAGCTTTCTATGATGCTATATGATGCCATGCAGAAACTCCTTAATCCTTCCATAAAGAAATCGAATCAAATAACTATATTAATGGATGCGTGTAGCGCAAAGGTTAAAGATGTCTGCAGTACAAACGCGATCTTTGGTTCAAATTTTCGGCCCAGTGGAGACCAAGCACTCTTTGTGGTCGGCAAATTGGTGGTAAACATGTGCATTAATTTGATATATCAATTCGCTTACGTAGCTGATTATACAGGATGAATATGCACTCAGTGGCAGCGTTCTTTTGTATAGGACGGTTTTTATTGATATGACTATCCATTGATAATAACTTGTTTTTCAACGGATACTCCATCCTAGAGTAGTCGGCATTATGTCAGCTGGCACAAGCCGAATTCCAAAACAATATTTTTTAAACCGACAGTCATTCAGCCTCGGTAGTAATAACCAATACCCCTTTAGATCGAGAAGACTGTGGACCGCCGACTCGGATGATTGGTTCTGACGATGGCGAAGACATCGAAACGTTAGCCGAATAAGGTTTATTTCATCAACTTTGTGTTATAAGCTTATCCATAAAAGAATAGATCTAGTTCCCGTGCATTTATTTGATTGGTTCATTGCATGCATGAAATACATTGCCGATTGCATAAAGAAGTACATTTCAATGTCTACCGCTTTGTAACTTATCAAAAAGTAGTAGTCTAAGAAGAAGGATTTTATCCCCTTGACAAAAACCCGACTGCCACATAGCAGTGTTACGGTAGATAATTAAAGTTCCAAGTTGCAAACAAGCCGCTAAAATTTAGAAGTTTTACAACGGCGATCCGTTCTTTCAACACATTGAACTCAGAACAACGACGTTTTTAGAGAATCTGATGGTGAAAAAAATCATATTTGTGTAAGATATCAATCTCGTATCCATCCCGAGAGGATGCCAGTCGCTACGAGAAAGTTTTTAAAATAAACACTTCTATCTTGGAACGTGCGTCTGTCAAGATGGACTTCTTCAGTACTATAGCAGGACGAGTAGAACTGCGGACAAGTCGGAGATTTTTGCTTGGAAAAAGTCATCTTCTGTTTTCTTCATCTGCCACCTTCGTCAGTTTCCTATTAAACTCGAGGCACAATCAAATCACTTTGTGTGTAGCCTGCAGATGTCCTACAGCGAATAATTACAACAATAACTGCCGAAGACCTTTGCACTGTGAATTCTAGAGTATAACTCAAAAGGCAAGAAAACGGATAATTCACGATCCAAAAGCTGCTCTTCCGTTCTTCATTAATGCTAATCTAGGAAAACATTTTAAAATTCACAGAAACACACATGGAGGCATATATATATATATATATATATATATATATATACATCACAAAGCACATCAAAACCTGTCTATATATCCCATTTTTCATGGCTATTGTTCTAGAGATATCGATATTGTTGTAAAATACTACGCCGGATCGAATTACTGCTTTCGTCGGTTCGATTTTCAAAGACTGGGTAGCGATGTTATTCAGTAGTATAAATAATGTATTCGTAGGACCCAAGAAGAGCTACAAATTAATTCACACCTGGTTGAAATTCACTGGAAATTTCGACTATTCTTTTGGAACGCTTTGATATTGAATACATTCAGAACAACTATAGAAATTCTCTTTAATCTGCTGTTCTCAATGGCTGAATCCACTTAGTAACAAAGTTCCTAAGCACAATGAACACATGCGTGGTTTACCCACTCTTAAGTGTGAAACGTCACTTCAACGTCAGGGAAATGACAGCCCATTGTCCCAATAGGACCAACCTTAATTATTTAATTCGCAAATCGATTAGATTATGTTCAAATAATAACATATTCGACCACATTTCACTTACTATTGCCTCTAAGAAGGGAAGATACCAGTGGAGAAGCAGAAGAAGTATCCTGCCAACAAACAACGAAGCATAAACTATGTTTCGGCAAACATCAGCTGATCGGAGCTGCAAAGTCGGCTTTCGTTTCTACAGAGAAGGGTCATTAGCTACTTTAGTTCTGTGTAGTTCCTGATAGCGTCTAAGTCATTGGCAGTGATACAAGCACTTAGGATTCCATGAAGAACCCTGTAGAAGTTCTTATGTTAATTCGATTAGATTAAAACGATGCGAACGACAACAGATCTGCCGGCTTTGCAAGGAGTGTACTTTTCGCTCGTACTATTCTTCATGAAAGTCAGGTCCTTGAACTTCTTACGTAGATAACACACAATTTTGCAAAGGCGATAGCGGACTCAACCATAGCTATCTAACCCCTTTGTCGTTAACCAGATGAGTCAGTCGCATATCACGTGATTTTACGACACTGTTTTGTGTTGCTCTTTAACTATCGAAAGACTCGAAAGACCGACTTTCTATGAACCTCGGCATAAATAGTTGATATATTTATTTATGTGATCTTATAAACTGATCTTCTTAAGTTGACGCGAGGTTGGTACAGATCTTCGTTGTCGTTGTCGTTGTTTTTGATGTTATTGAACGATGGCTGACGTTTCGGCGACTTCGCCTTCCTCAGAGCCTGGACGTACTTTATGTTAGAATACTTTTTATTATTCGGTGGAAAAGAAGGTTAAAGTATTAATGAAGATCAAACTTTCAAATAGACGCCATATTGAACAGAAAGGTCACTCACCGTGATGTTATGGGCGGGACTGGCCGACACGTAGTTTACGCGAGCAAGACACGCCCCGGGGTCAAAATATCATTTTGAAATAGGGCGTCAGGTCACGCGTGATAGTGAGGCATTCGTCCTTCCGGTTCATCTTTGGATTTTTGAAATTTATCCAAAACGCCTCAAGAGTTTTGCGCGTTGATGTTTTTGATTCCTGCGCTAGGATCCGCACAGTCACTTCAAAATCATCGCCGTNTATTTATTTATGTGATCTTATAAACTGATCTTCTTAAGTTGACGCGAGGTTGGTACAGATCTTCGTTGTCGTTGTCGTTGTTTTTGATGTTATTGAACGATGGCTGACGTTTCGGCGACTTCGCCTTCCTCAGAGCCTGGACGTACTTTATGTTAGAATACTTTTTATTATTCGGTGGAAAAGAAGGTTAAAGTATTAATGAAGATCAAACTTTCAAATAGACGCCATATTGAACAGAAAGGTCACTCAC